ACTTCAAGGAAGCTGATTTTGAAGGTCTCAATAATACGCTGAGTCGGATAACATTTGATGTTAACACTACCAACGATATCGATAAACTTTGGTCTTGCTGGAAAAAGTCGTTCCTTGACGCAGTAAATAACCACATCCCAACTAAAACAATAAAGGATACCAACTCTCTTCCTTGGGTAGATAAAGAAGTTCGTCATCTCATTCGAAAGAAATACTCAGCATTAAAAAGATACCGCCAAAACAAGTGTGAAACGAGAAAACAAAAGCTAAGAGGCTTAAGTGACGCCGTCAAGTCGCTAATTAAAAAGAAGCATAGGGAATATCTAAGGAAAATCGAAACATCATTTGCAACTAATCCAAAACTTTTCTGGACTTACCACAAAGCAATTTTGCATAGCAGATCAAAACAGACTTCTGACATTGTCTTCAACGGCATTACAGCAAAGTCTTCTGCAGAAAAAGCCGAGCTTCTGAATTCTTACTTCTCCTCAGTATTTACAACATCCAGTACTGACATTGGGGATTGTGATGGTGAGGCGTCTGAAACTGAGTCGGGATTGGGTGAATTAACAGTTGATGTGGCTGAAGTGGAAAATTACCTCAGAAATTTAGACATCACCAAAGCGAGTGGCCCTGACAAGATACCAGCACGTCTACTAAAAGAATGTGGTCGGCACATTGCGCCTAGTAACTGTGAATTATTTAACGTATCCTTGCGTGTTGGACGACTTCCGGTAGAGTGGAAATCAGCGAACGTGACACCAGTTCACAAGAAACATCTGAAAGAACCAGCGGAGAACTACCGACCGATATCCCTTTTGCCTATCATTGCAAAACTATTGGAACGTTGCGTATGTAGGCGGCTATACGAACACGTAATTAGCGCTATCTCCTTAGGACAACACGGTTTCCTACGCAATCGATCATGCACTACACAACTGCTGCAAGTTTTACATAAGATTGGAGAAAACCTTGACAGTAATATTCAAACAGACATTGTCTACTTGGATTTTGCCAAAGCTTTTGACTCTGTCGATCACGGTTTAATCTTGGCAAAACTCAGGCAATTCGGTGTACATTCAAACATGCTAAATTGGTTCATTAACTACTTAACTGGTCGGACCCAAAGAGTTGTCGTTGATGGTGTTGCTTCAGGTTGGTCCTCAGTAACATCTGGTGTACCACAAGGTAGCATACTTGGTCCAATGTTGTTTGTATTATTCATCAATGATTTACCCGACATCATTCCCGATAAATCAGAAACTGCTTTGTACGCTGACGACACAAAAACATTCAGGAAAATTACTTGCGAAGATGATGCTCGCCAATTACAACAAACCCTGACAAACCTAGCCACCTGGAGCAACACCAACAATATGAGGTTCAACGAGTTAAAATGTAAAGTGTTGACTGTGTCGCGAAAGAAACAACCTGTGGACTTCACATACCGACTGGGCTCAACCACTCTTACTCATGTTGAAAAAGAGAAAGATCTTGGGGTTACAATGACTGGAAAGCTTTCATGGGATTCTCATATCCATGAGATCACAGCTAAAGCCAACAAGCTGCTCGGTCTATTGAAGAGAACATGCCCTTTCCTGACTGACGTCAGCGTCCGACGTACTTTGTACCTTTCGTTGGTAAAATCCAATCTATGTTATGCCTGTGAAGTTTGGTCCCCATACATCTGCTGACAGAAGACAAAGATAGAGCGTGTGCAGAGACGAGCCACTAGATGGATATTGAAAGCTAGAAAGGGTGATTCCAGCTACAATGAGCGTCTCGTTGATCTGAACTTACTACCTTTGTGTTATGATAGAGAGATAAAAGATCTAATGTTCTTCTACAAGACTCTTTATGGTATTTCCGATCTCAATGTTCATGACTATGTCTCGTTTGTAACCCATAACCACTCCCGTCTATGTCGTAATCCCAACATGTTGCTCAAGACTCCATTGTGTAAAACCACAACATATCAGAACTCATATTTCAACCGGATCGTGAAATTATGGAACAGTGTTTGTAAAGTAGCTTCACCAAATACATTTTCTAGTGTCAAAACATTTAAATACTACCTCTTTAATTATTATTCTATGTTAGTATCGACCGTATTCGATGTAAACTTGTTATGTACTTGGTCTATGTCACGTGACTGTTCCTGTCATAGGAGTTAATTGTCTTGTTGTATAAACTTGTTATTAGTATTTACATAGTAAACTATATTTTACATGTATTCTGTTGGAAAGGTGCCTTGCATGGATAGCGCAAATTATTTACGTTCCGTTCGCACCTCTTCCATTTGGGTAATATTCGTTCTTTGCATGCATAGTATTAGTACGTCTTTTGTAAATAATTATTATATTTACCCAATAAAGTATTTAAACAAATTTCCAATCACGTGACTATACTTAAATTAACTTGCGCGCGCAAATAACTTATTTCGCATAATTGATTTCAACTATAAATTATTCTGGGAAGCAATAAAAACTTTTATCGCTGTGGCATTAAGTTCCTATATGTCTTTACTTCGATCTTTATTCCTGCATAGACATGAAAAGTTGCCCATGTTGCTACGGCAACTGCTTATAATAATATCCCTATTATAATATCCCGCGGTCAAATTTGACAGTTGGCCTTTCTAACTTGGTGGAGTCAATCCAGAAAAGAGCCTTACTGACAGTGGCGTAACCAGCCCGACAATTTATTCCTGTTATGCAAATTCAAAATTATTATCATTCATTTCTTTAGAAATTGATTGTTTTCACATCAATAAACACGAAAATATTTGCATAGTGGGACTAAATCGTCTGGTTGTCTACGCTACTGTGTGCTTACGGATAATATATCCCTTTTTGTCCTTTACGGATAATATATCCCTTTTTGTCCTTTACGGATGATATATCCCTTTTTGTCCTTTATGGATAATATATCCCTTTTTGTCCTTTATGGATAATATATCCCTTTTTTCCTCCTCATCCACACTACTTCCGCCGCACTCCATCGCAAAAATCGGGGTCGAAAACTACCTACTATGCTACTGATATATTCGACTGGCTCGATAGTCTATGGCGTTTATGCTTCGTTTCCCGATCTTTCTGGGTTATAGCCACATGCCAGAATAGTGGCAGAAACTTTTCTCTGTCACAATGATCACAAAGCCGAAAGTCGTGGGTTTTCTCCGGGTACTCCGTGTTTCCTCCCACAGGGAAAGTTGACAGGGTGGGTTAGGCACATAGGTCAGGGCGCAGATCATTAATGAGATATGGATTAATAGCGGCTGCTTAAAGCGCCATTTGAGCTCACAGTCTACCTCGGTGTGCTTCACGCCAGTTCCGGCTCTAATGTAACCAGTCACTGAAAAACCCTGACATAGGGGAGTGTGCTGAGTAATATATGTATGTATGTATGTATGTATATGGTAATCTGGAGAGGTTTACCCCTCTTTGAGGTCACCAAAACTCCAGTTAGTTAGGTCAAAAATAGAAAAGAAGATGCTGTTTTAGATAGTATCTCTAAACCCGAGCAAGATAGAAAAAAATTGTAAAAGGTCTTCATTTTTAAATTTCTCCCAAATAAGGGAGTAATTTTTTTATTATTGAATAATTTTTTTTTGAATAATTGCCAGATGATCTTGATACGCGGAAAAGTACTGGCACTAGTTGTCAAATAGAAATCTATTTTATGATTAAAACAACTGAAAATCTTCTGTAATATACTTTATTTCGATTCCATATTTTTGTCAGAGCTATAGTTCTCATAACTAAACATAATTACAAAATTTCAACTAGTTTCATAAAGAATAACGAAAGATATAATTGACTGAATACATCAAAATGGATTTGTATTCGGACAACCCTTTCTGAGCGCTGATTGGCTAAAATACGAACACGAGATCACCTGGTGAGGGGAGGAATTTTTGGTGTCATTTTGTAATTGAAACAATTTCGACTTCTATTTTATAGACAAGCGACGTTGCAAGGTATTCTCCTGGCTGGATGCTTTCTCTTTATCTCAAGGTCCAAGGTAAGTAGAAGATTTTGAGATCTACTATTCCGTCAAAAGATCTACAATTCCTTTATCTCACTGAGAGCCAGTTTGCAGAGTTCTCCTTACCAGGCGGTAACCGCTAAAATTTACCGTTTCCTGCACGAACACTATAATTACCGCCTGGAGAAGCCGAGAGAGTGGGTAAATTTGTTAACAAATAATTAGTTTTATGTTGTGCAAAAATTGTATATACAGGATTGTGTGGAAATGAATACAGAAATGTCCTATAAACCCGATTGATAAACAATTTTTGGCAGGAAATGCCATTTCACAGACTTCATGCATATTACACATTTTCCTGAGGGGGTTGTATGTCCCTACCCCCTCCTAGACGTTTGTCGCGCCTGTGACGCTTACCTGTTTAAAAACCTGTTTTACCTGTCCCGCTCACAACTGTGAAGAACGGGAACCTTGCTGTTCAAGGTTGATATGTCGGACATTTGAAACTCGTAAGCTTCATGTTTTCAGGCCAACGGCCCTGCGATTTCAGTTGCAGGTATTTCCCTTATGTAGCCCTACACGAAATATATTAAGGGAGTTTGGCATATACATCTAGTACGCCGTTGTTGTTCAAGCTGCTGCGGTATTTACATCATTTTCACGGCTCATAGCTACGCCCAACCTCGTCCCCAGGGCCTTTGTGCTGACTTAGTCAGCACAAAGGCCCTAGGGACGAGGTTGAGCTACGCCAACAGTTGAAACGTGAGAAATCATGTGATCTGTTTTAAATATGTGACTTCGCTGACCCATTGCTACTTAACGTCTTGAGGGTTGTTTGTAAATATTGCATGCAAAAATGTAAGTAATTGCTGTGCCGTTGCCGTTCTTGGTTGCCAAACTTTCTATATATTATGTATGAGGCTTCGCTGGCGTAGCCATTGCAAGCGCCAAATGTCGTTGGTTTTCCTCCCGCAGGGAAGGTTGACAGGATGGGTCAGGATAAACGCTGCAGTAAGAAAGAGATATCACAATTGTTGTGAACATAAAATAGAATATTTTGGTAAAAGAAGAATATAATATTTGGTAATATAAGATAAAATATTTGGCTTCAGGAAAAAGATAGGCAGTTTATCTGAAGGTAGCGTTCCAGTTACATTAATTTCAATGTTTCGTGTAGGCTTACATAGTGTAGGCACTCCCGTGTAGCGCTCTCATGACTGAGCTACAGAAGCCAGCTACAGAGGCTTAGTCATTTGCAATTCACATATGCTTGCCAACATTTTTGTCTGATTCTATAGCCTTTAAAGACGCTGTCTAAAGAAAGACCATTGCCGAACATATTCAACGTCTACACAGTCCTGACAGTATTCTGTCAATTTGCTGTTCATTTCTACTCGCTATATTTTTTAACGAAACAAGCCAAGCGCTGGACGCCGGGAAGGTTGGTGCAATTACTGTAATGGTCAGTTCACAATTCAACAGACTTAAAAAAAGGGGTTAATGTTCCTTGGATCCATTTTTCAAATGTTTCTCAAAACTGTGTAAAAACAATTTGACCGCACATTGCGGTGAACATTTGACCGCAAATTATTTTCGTAATAATTTGCGGTCGTATTACCGTAAACTAATTGTTTATGATCGTTGGACCGTTGAGGTATATTGATGATTGGTGTACTGTACTGTACTGTACTGTACTGTACTGTACTGTACTGTACTGTACTGTACTGTACTGTACTGTACTGTACAAGCGTTCTTTCGAGTCTTATCAATAATTAATTCGATTATGTCCGACCATAACAAGCGTTGGTCCGACATATTTTCAACGAAATGTTCAAAATGAACTCTACAGATGTGTGATTATGTGCGTTCGGCTACTATTTCAAATAACAAATTGACTGACAACATTTTAAGCATCTACTACACAGCCAGAAATCTCGCAGGCCTGTCGCAAGTTGTTGATTTTACCGCAAATGGCCGCTTGCGCAGGAAACAATGGAGATGGACTTCTGTATAGTATTCTGTGCTATAAGTAGTGAATGGCTAAATTTGACTTTGACGTGCATGAAACTAATCCAAGATGGCGTACAGTTCATTGTCCTCATTCAAAATATTTTCTAGAATCAACCAGGATAAAGATATCAAAAATAGTAAATAAAACTGCGATACAGAATACAAGTGTTAATTATCTAACAGTTATTCTGCGAACTCAAGTCGTATATGAGTTGATAGTGATGCAACTACCTGAGTAGGACTCCTTGCATTTTTCAGGTAGTTGCATCCAGTGACGTAGCCAGCCTGACTATTTTCTCCTGCCATGCAAATATATCTGTGTTCATAGACTGTAAAAACAATGATTTTCTAAAGAAATGAATAATGTTAATGCTTTGAAATTTACATAGCAGGAGTAAATTTTCAGGCTGGCTACGCTACTGTTTGCATCAATCCGAAATTTTTTTAATGTGTAATAATACTTTTTTATTGATATCTTAGAACAGAGAATTACGTTGATCTCGATTCCAAATTTGAAGCAAGTATTATAAATAGCACAGTATATCTCATCTCAATGGCGATGCAGCTCTCCACATTTGCCGTCAATTATAAGGTAAGGTCGGTGTTTTGTTTTAATTGAAATGAACATGCAGATGATCGCTTTATATATTTGGTGTGTGAGTTTTAACGTCTGTTAGTTTGTTGGGATAATAAACCTTGGTATATAGTTTTTCAAAAATAGTATGTCTTCGCGCTTGCGGTGCACTTGTTTAAGGGCCTGTTTATATGATCCCGCCTAGACGGGACGTTTTCATCCCGCCTAGACGGGAAACTCGCCTAGTGTTTATATGGACAAAATTCACTACCGGGATGAAGTCATTTAAGTGCTTGACGTCATATTTTTGTTGCAATAAAGGCATTTACGCATGCTCAAAAGGGAAAAGTTCATCCCGCCTAGCCGGGATGAAGTGTTTATATGGGAATTTTTCGTCCCGGCTAGGCGGGATGAAGTGTTTATATGGGAATTTTTCATCTCGTTTAGGCGGGATCCCAGCATCTGTTGCCGAGATCCCGTCTAGGCGGGATAAGTGACGGGATCATATTAACACTCTTTAGAATTTGTATTACGAGCGGGATCTCGGTAAGCATCCCGTCCCGCCTGGCCGGGATCATATGAACAGGCCCTAAGTCGCCTTTGCGCATACTGCATACTCTTTCTTTGTCTTAAAGTTATACGTTCTCAGTCGAGACCCCACAACATAAGGGACCGGTCATTATTTATGGTTGGGGGGGGGGGGTGGGGTGACACCGAAGAGAAATGTTTTTCGTGGCACAAATTTTGCTGACCCAACCATTAAAAAGTCAAAAATTTGATTACCCAACCTCAAATATCAATTAAAAAATAAATACCCACCCCCTGGCCAAAAACTTTACAAAAGAATACCATTCTGTTGTCACACAAGTTCTTTACCACTTCTGTGGCATGAGTGTGATAACAGCTTTCTGCAGTCTAAAGTTTCATATTGTCTGCAGTCTGCACATCTAGTTTCCTTGGAGACACCATTTGTCTCCTGACAAATCGGAAAATGATCAAGATAGTGACTGATTAAGTCAGATACATGTATTGTATTTACATATGACTGTTGACATTGCTTTTTAGTATCCAATATTTCAGTGAGTTATGTTTTAGAAATGACACTAAATTTTTATTACCCAACCCCTTGAGTTGTTTTGTTTTTCATTTACCCAACCTTTTACTTACTCAAAATTTTGTTTATCCAACACTTTTCTCTTCGGTGCCACCCCCCGCCTTAAATAATGACCGGTCCCTAAAGGGAAATAATATGTTTATTGAACACCAGGACTTAGTATGGGTTTAGGCATATTTCGATAACCAATAGCTTGACGGATATTTCCTAGTGGTGAAAGGTGCTTGGGTATAAAATGACCAAACCTTAAGCTTGCTGAATTTAGTAAGATGATACCCCCCACCGCAGTATGACTTCAAGAAGCAAGAATCCACTTATCGGTTACATTGTTCTTTACTCTTACGAAAATCCGTACGTTTTCTCGTTTATAGATAGCGTATGTAAGGAATCGCCATTGCATTCCTTCAAATTGGATTAAAAAACACAATATCCGTATAGCTGTTTAAACAGCGATAGTTACATGTACGCGCTGCGTACCTATTTTTATCTATGTAAATGCATTGTTTTGGCACAGGCAGGTTAAGTCACGCAAGGGAAACGCAGAAAAGCTTAAACTATATTTATTTCGAAGATCGCTTAGGTGAAAATCGCGTTATAATCACCTCAACGGCAACCAATCAGCGGGGAGAATTTTCAATAATCACCTATGTAATTATACATAAAGGCAAAAACAACTCTTCCTTCAAGTGAACAATAAACAGTCTGTTCTTGTTCCGTTTTTAATCGAAAAAAGTGATCAGATCCAATTTTAAGCTTATCGAGAGCCTTTGTGATGAATCACTGATCGAATTATATATCCAACAGCAAACAGCCAATCAGAATACTGCGTTTGTGTGCGAACACGACAAATACAGAATACTTCCTTGCAGGCCCACTATTCTTTCCTCGGTGGGCCTGCAAGCGGGCTAGTTTTGCCGGGAAGCTCGCCGCATGAGTGGGATGAATTATTTGTGTTCATGTGACTGTTCAATCCCATCTAATATCCCGATTCGGTGTGACGACATTATCTAGTTATAGCGTTTTTAAAGTTGTACTGTGTAAATCAAGTACTGTAACCATGGATAATAAAATACATGGATAGGAAACTAGCTGACGTGACCTAATGTTTTCAATGGGACACTGACGTCGAAACCTGTAGTTGCAAACCAAATTCTCAAAAACGGCATGTTTAGCGATAATACAGCTAAACATTTTAGTGAAAGAGCAAATAAATATAACTAGGCCATTCTACGATGAATTCTCTAAGTATTCCCGGTCAATTTTAGCAATTATTTCAAGCACTAAACAGTGAAAAATGCATCGCAAATTTCGTTAAAATTGGCGACGCCAATTTCGTAGCTACAAATGTAAAAAAGTACAAAACAAAGACGAAAAACATTTACCTTGAATACTTTGTCGTGGCTTAGGCATGCTTTTAAAACAATTAGACCAGTTTATGCTTCAATATTACTCTTTTAAAGCGGAAAATATAGCGAAACAACAAAAATGCCGAGAACTTTGGCAATACACGTGACGTCACAGATTGCAACTAGGTTTAGATTAGAAGTCAGGAAGTTTCCTACCCCAGTTCTTTACAATCCATGCTGTAACACAAGTCGACTACGACAACGTTATTAATAGAGTTTTGAAATGTTAAGGCAGAGGTTTACTAGTCAAAGAAGTTTAACGACCATATGAACATGATGAAAGTTGATAGTATAAACAAAATAGCATGTAATTCTATACGTTAACGTAAAAATGTAACGAAAACAGTAACGTAAACATTGGTCAGAAAAGAAGCTAACGCGTTATCGTTCTATTTTAAGTCAAAATGAGACTGGTAACTAGTTACTTTAAAAAGTGACAATTACTTTATACAGCACTGCGTGTTGGTTGCAGCTATTATTAAGCTTATTGCTTACGGCTTACAGTCATTACTGCAGCTTTTTTATAAATATAGGCCAGTTAATGTCTACCTACAACTCTACAAGGGAACCTTTTATGGTATGTTATAATATTGTGTCTTTTTTCCGTTTAGGGTCATCCGTTTATGGAAAGTTTGCTAGAAAACAAGGCGTTATTGTACAGTCTGGCTGCATCAGCTGGAGCTATAATGATGTTAACTACAGGAGTATCCGTTGATTTTTGTAGTCAGTTTGAAATTGTAGCAATGCCTGACAAGGTAGGTCCATGGATCATAAAATCACCATAGGAGGCCCAATAGTTAGCACAAAAAGACTTAAAATAATGATGTTTGTGATATTATTCTGAGTGTATATCCACACCGGGTGAGCTTGAAAAATATGCCCGGCCACGGTGGGAATCGAACCTACGACCATTGGAATACTAGCCCAATGCTCTGCCAACTGAGCTACGCGGTCACGTGGGTTCGAGTAAGTGATATTTCGGAACAGAATCTAGTTCCTTCGATCCCAATGTAATCTAGTAATATGATTTTATGAGAAAAAATAATCATATTACTAGATTACATTGGTATCGAAGGAACTAGATTCTGTTCCGAAATATCACTTACTCGAACCGACCTGACCGCGTAGCTCAGTTGGCAGAGCATTGGGCTAGTATTCCAAAGGTCGTAGGTTCGATTCCCACCGTGGCCGGGCATCATCGGCCATTTCTGTTATTAGAAAACTAAAAGAATTTGTTGACCGTGATACACTTGTTTCTATATTTAACGCAATTGTACAACCATACTTTACTTATTGTTGTGAAGTGTGGGACATTTTTGGTGAAACTCAATCACAACGATTACAAAAGCTTCAAAATAGATGCGCTCGAATTATTATGGACATGGGTAACGAAGTTAATGCCCAAATCGCATTAAATTCGTTAGGATGGGAGACACTAAAAGTACAAAGAACTGAAGCTAAGGCAAAATTAATGTTCAAAATTTTGAATATGTCTGGGCCTAAAAGCCTAACAGACCTTTTTACCTACAAGAATGAGAATACGCATTACTGTCTCCGTGACAATGAAACAACACTCGTTTTGCCACAGCCCCGCACAAATAGCATGAAAAAGAGTTTTATGTTTAATGGGGCAAAAATATGGAACTCAGTGCCTAAAGAAATCAGAGGAATTAGGTCCCAGTCTCTATTTGAAAGAAAAATTGCTGCTCATGTTTCTAAATAACATATTTATACATACATATATATATCCTTTATTGTAAATAGTTATCTATATGTTTTGTTAGTTGTCTATATTGTCAATTTTGTCAATTGGAACAGTTAGATTATTTCTATTTTCTTTTATTTGATTCCATAAGAGTCATAACAGCATTTATATATAATAACTTTTGAACACACGCCCTTCGTGGAAATCAATGTTTTTAATTGACGTAGTTAGCGTGTCAAAATAAAATCTATCTATCTATCTATCTATCTATATTTTTCAAGCTCACCCGGTGTGGATATACACTTAAAATAGTTTAAAATTCAATAAAATTTCATTGTGTTACCATGAAGTGTTTTTTTGTAGCCATAGCTGTTTATTTAAACCATGGATTGTAAAATAACTGGATAGGAAACTTCCTGACGTCACAGTCTAAACCTAACGTGACGTCACAGTCTAAACCTATGTGACGTCACGCATATTGCGAATATTACCAAAGTTCTCGGCATTTTTGTTGTTTCGCTATATTTTCCGCTTTGAAAGAGTAATATTGAAGCATAAACTGGTTTAATTGTTTTAATCAGCCCATTGAAAACATTAGACCATGCGAGACTCAATCTTGCGTTGTGAATGCAGACTTGCATGCAGTGGCATAGTGACGTATATCAGGGACCGCGGAACAGGGGGGCCGGGGGGCATGCCCCCTCCCCACGTTTTCGGTCGATAATAAAACATTACCGGATAGAATCCAGTCTGCCTGCGTGGAATATCTCCCGTGCTATTCTGCCCCCCCACACACACACACTTTTAAACAGGCTCCCTGTATATAAAGACTATGAATTTTGTTGCTTTTTGCGTAAAACATGCACTGCCTTCCTTTTTAGTGTAGCTGTAAAATTACTCGTATTAGACGTCGCTAAATAGCCAGGCGGAAGTTACGGCCGCTTTGCCCGGGCCGGGGGAAGCGGACAGTATTGCGCATTCGGTCGCGCGTGCACGCTTTGATCCGCTCGTGCTAACGGAGGAGTGCCTCTATAATTATGGAAAGGATAACTTCGAAACAAAATGCTGAAGTGTTATTTTAGCGGATAGAAATTTCGAGTATAAGGTGACGCCAGTGTAAGGTATATGGGTAAATATCATGATTCAGTTGGGCATCTCGCTAGATAGAACCATGGATAGTAAAATAAATGGATAGGAAACTAGCTGACGTGACCTAATGTTTTGCAAACCAAATTCTCAAAAACGGCATGTTTAGCAATAATACAGCTAAACATTTTGGTCAAAGAGCAAATAAATATAACCACGCCATTCCACGATGAAAACTCTTAAGTATTCCCAGTCAATTTTAGCAAATATTTCAAGCACTGAATAATAATAATAATAATAATAATAATATATAAAGATTTATACAGCGCTTAAATTATATAAAATATTCCAAAGCGCTTTACAACAATGAGGTTATACTATATACAAGTAGCTAAAATATTAAGAATTAAGGTATAGGTGTCTATAAATCTAAAAGTTAGAATCGAAAGCTTTCTTAAAAAGGAAAGTCTTTAATTGAGATTTAAAACAGTCAATTGTTTTACTATTTCTAATACCAGAAGGTAGCATGTTCCAAATTGACGGAGCTGCATGCACAAATGCTCGATCACCAAGAGTCTTGGCTCTAGTTTTTGGGATAAAAAGTAGTCCCTGATCATCAGATCTCAGTTGGTAACAGCAGTTCGGTTTTTCTAACAACAGTTCCATAATGTAGCCTGGCGCCATCCCGTGGAGGGCTTTATATACCAGAAGTGCAATTTTAAAATCAACGCGAAACTTGACAGGCAGCCAGTGAAGGTGCATCAGGACAGGGGTAATATGAGCACATCTTGGTATAAGACACGTCACTCTAGCAGCGGCATTGAGAACTCGTTGAAGACGCTGAAGTTGGTATTGGGGAATGCCGAACAAGAGAGAATTGCAGTAGTCCAAGTGTGACGTCACAAAGGCATGTACGAGCGTTTTAGTTGATTCGATGGAGAGAAACTTCCTTATTTGTCGGATGTTGTACAAGCCCCTAAATGCTTTGCTGCAAACCTTGCCCACATGGACATTCATCGACATATGTTCGTCAAACCACGAACCTAGATTTCGGACTTCTTGTACAGGTTTTATATCAGCATCACCAACTTCAATCGAGTCGATTGTAACCTTAGACAGCTGCTGGCGAGTTCCAATTATCAAGAATTCCGTTTTAGTGTCATTGAACATTAATTTATGTGAAACTAACCAAGCACGAACTTCG